TGGAGACAGTTGTTAAACTTTTCTCAGCCCGGAGGTCTTTGTAGGCCTGCATAAAAGCAGAACCGTAAGAAAGACGAGGGTTGCTAACCCTCCAAGATTGCCCTGGAATCTCCAGGAATTGGATATAACTCTCCCGGAGACTGCTGGGAGTCACCCAGGAAATAAGTGATAGGGCATTCATTAAAATAAATATTAAATGTTGAACCCGATTTATACAGTAGCCCAGTGGGTTTCTAAAGTGTAACAGTAACGTGCATTTGCCTTCCTGACAAAGTCTACGCACCGTAATCCGTAACACGTACGCAAGCAGGCACGTTCGTGTCATCTCTTTAGTTGACTAACTACACTGTGTAGTGTATTAATGTCATTACGTCGTGTGATGAAACCTTCTGGAATAGATTCAAACAGTTGGCAATCCTATCAAAGACCAAGGCACCTACAGAATACAAGTGTCTCTGGGTTTAGGCAGAAACAGAGTAGAGGTTTCCAGGATAGTAATTGTCGTCTTAAATGCAATTCAGGTGCTCATGTTCAACTGTAAGTAGAAATGTTATTTTCAGGATCTGGACCTACATAACTGCCCACAGTCTCAGGAAGGCAATGCCAGAGCTGGTGTTAGGCAGGGGGGAAAAAAGACATTATTATTTCATATAGCACTGTCTTTCAACTGATGCACAGTTGTTTTTCAACCAAGTAATAATATTTCATTAATGTGAAAAGATAAAATAGCAAACGCATCCCCGCTTCCATGGTTGGAGTATAATATTTAAAAGCTGGACTTCTCAAACAATGCAACAGCAATCTTGGTTTTATCCATTTCCTCAACCATGACTGGCACATCATAACAAGAGACATGCTGGGATGGGATGGGCTCCACCATTCCCCTAAAGGTAAGCGTGTGTTTTCTTCTAGTTTGGCGGACCTCCTCCGGCGGGCTTTAAACTAGGCTTGTTGGGGGAAGGGGAAGATGAGGGTGGAGGAATCATGGGACTGCGAGACCAAGCAACACCCACAAGTACAGCCCAGCCTAGACTGACGAGTGAAACATATACACAGGTAAGCGACAGGGCTCAGAGTAATGCTGAAAGTAGGGGGCCAGTACACACATCCACAGGAGGCCTCAAATGCCTCTACACAAACGCTTGTAGTTTAGGAAACAAGCAGGAGGAATTCACCCTCCTGCTAGCTGACACCAACCCGGATATAGTGGGGATCACTGAAACATGGTGGGACTCAGTGCCTGACTGGGCGGTGAATGTCAAGGGCTATAGGCTGTACAGGAGGGACAGGATAGGAAGGAAAGGTGGGGGCGTGGCACGCTACATTAAGGAGGAATACCCATCCTCCTCAATTAACAAAGAATCAGAGGAAGGGCACTCTGAAGTGCTTTGGGTTAGAATAGAAGGCAGTTGAGGGGAAAGAGACTTAACAGTGGGGGTCTACTACAGACCTCCCAACCAAGGGGAAGAGCTCGACCAGGAATTCTTAGGTCAGCTCATGGAGGTAGCGAAGTAAAAGGATGTGGTAGTCATGGGGGACCTGAAATTCCCGGACATCTGCTGGGAACAGCAGTCAGCCAGATCTGAC